ATTTTATATGCTAGTAATAGTAGATTCTTGAAATTTGGAATAAGTCGGGCCTAACATAATGCCCCTACCTCTAGGGCTACTGCATCTAGTCTAGTGTAATAAACCAGAATTAACCATCTAAGGTTATAAGAAATTACTCTTCACATCTGATTCTTAAGACTGTTTCTGTTCCTTCAAGGAGCAGAAACAGAAGTTGGAGTGTTTGGAGTGAAAGTATAAAAGTGATTCTAGTGCTCTAATTTATTAATGAAATCAGTTTTTTTAGAAGTTAAGGGAGACCAACTTCTAAAACTGATTTTAATTCTACTTCTGATTTAAAAAAGAAGTAGAAACACAATCAACTCCAAACACCCCTCAATATAGGAGGAAAATAAGTGTGTAAGTCCTATTTTGGAAGAAATTAAAAAATGATAAAACTTATTCCCAAATATATGAAATTGAAAATGTGTTATGTTTAACTCATATATTTATCTACAATTCATCTTTGCACATAATACAAGTTGCCAAATGGGCTAGAGACATGATCGAGATGAAGTTTATTTAGGATACACTGATGTGTTTAGTTGATTTTTAAAATCTTTAAAACTAATCATAAATGTAAATTTTAAAACTCTACTAGTAATTTTTTTATTATTCTTTCTTAGAAGGGTTGATATATATTAGGTCAAACAAATCATAATTTTACTGACTCTACTTAGTTTTTTATGATGCTAATAAAACCGAATATAATGAACCATCTTATTTTGAAATGGTTTATTAAATTGGATACATATGCCTTTTTTAAATTTCTGATTAAGATTAGAAAATACAAATGCCAGTGAGAGACTATTTTATTAGTTTCATGGCTGAGATTCCTGAGAAGGCCGCCGGCCAAGTGTTGCGTCTTAACATTAAATAATTATTACGCGTAAATTGACATGTTTTGGACTTTTGTTATTTTTGGTGTCCAATTTTCCTTCGGGGGCAATGTTTCCCCGGGAGGAGCAGCATTGCAGCAGTAATGGGTTTAATGAGCGAATTGAAGAAATTAATTTACTGTTTCTTAACCTAACATATTAATTAAAATATAAAGTCAAGTTAATATATAGTAGCGTAGTGAAAAGACATTTCTCAAGATCAACACTTCAAAAACAAAAAGCTACAATTAATCAGTATCCCGACTTAATGGTCTCAAATAATGAGTTGGTAAAAACAATTTTCTTATGCTCCATGTACCAATCCGTCTCAGTGTTGAAATAATAACAAAATTTTATATTCTAAATTTATTTATTTTACATCAAAATGTTTGACATTTATTGATCATTATTATTCCAATTTTGTTTTCTAAATATATATATATATATATATAGAGGGCTGTTCTCATCAGGCCGGCCTGACGGGCTGCCCCGTCCGGCCGAGCCCGTTTGGGCACCTTCCCGGTGGAATTTTTTGATAAAATTTTTTGAGCATGTTCCTCATCAAGTCTAGTTTGTCCATACCAAATTTCAGCTCAAAATTCGATCGGGAAGGTCGTCAAATGATTTTTGCACGTTAACTGGTCCGGAAAATACATATTCTGGACCAGTTAACTTGCAAAAATCATTTGACGACCTTCCCGATCGAATTTTGAGCTGAAATTTGGTATGGACAAACTAGACTTGATGAGGAACATGCTCAAAAAATTTCATCAAAAAATTCCACCGGGAAGGTGCCCAAACGGGCTCGGCCGGACGGGGCAGCCCGTCAGGCCGGCCTGACATGAAGTAAGGTTTTAATTAAAAAAAACTTCATTTGGTGAATATATTGACGTTATCGAATTGAAGTAAAAACTGATTTATTAACGAAAGTGAATAATGATTAGTGTGATACTCCCTTTGTCCCATTATTATTGTCGCACTTCTGATGCACTTAGTCAACACAAAGTATTCTTAATGTATTACTTTATTTATCAAAATTTTATCAAATTTGATTCTGATTTTTGTAAAGTTTTTAATGTAGTTTCTGAATATGTAATTTTTTTTCTCAAAATAATTTGAGTGTGGATACCATAATAATAATGAGATAGAGGGAGTATCAATTATCTAATTATCTATTGGGGCAATTATAATAATTTGGATAAAAAATATCTCTAAGATAATTGGGTGCTTATGGGCAGCAAGGTAGGTTATATATACGTAACCCTAGCAGACCCGTCCATTTCCATCTCTTTTTTGAAGTTAGAACGACGTAGACAATATTTATTTGAAATGAAGGAATTGAGGCTTGGTATCATCGGTAAGGTTTCATATTATATACGTCTATTTTAAAGTGAGAGGATAGAGGATGATCGATCACGTACGGCAATGAGCCAATGACGCCCCGTTTACATTTTGATTGAACACTTCGAAACAAGAAAACCTTTTGGAGTGAAGATTGCCCATTCAAGTTCATATATGGAGACAAACTATGCAAGAGCCACACATTACCATAAAAGCGTTTTGTTGCATCATATTAGTGACAAAATAATGAAAGATCATATATATAGTCAACACATATTTCACACTAATGTGTTTCTCATTGTGAATAGCTAAATATCTTAAATCGTTTAAAATTGAATAACGATTAGAAAAATATATGGCCCACGTTCCACAAAAATGATTTTTTTCAATGTAAAAAGATCGCAGGTAATGAAAATGGAAAATGATAAACGAAACGAAATAAGACATACAAAACATTACGAATATATTATACGTAGTACTTCGTATATAGTACTAATTCTACAAAAGGAATTAGAAGCAAACCTAATGTACTTTTTTGGAAGAAATAAGATTGAATTGATAACACATAATTCAGATAATGGGTAATCCGACAAAAAGATTCCTGACAACCGCCGTCCCGCGAACCAGGTTCGAAACTAATCACCTCCAGAGAAGCAATATAATTCGCTGATCTATTAATGGGCACAACTGAGCCAAAAACGGTTACCACAATCCTCTCATCACCACATCAAAATCCGACGTCTTATAAGCATGAATATAAAAAACAGAAGAAAGTACACAACAAAATAAATAATCACTAAAGGAGAAAATAAAACAGATAAAGTAGGTCTTCTATCCGAGCCTGCCAAACCGCACGATCACCCTAGACTTGCTTGTACTCCATGGCGGCGGTTCAGGAGGAGCACGTGCCCGCCACTCATCTCTCTACCTCAATAGTAAAGCTTTTGGCAAAACTAGTGTACTACAAAAGTTTACGGAGTATTTATGTACAATCAAAACTAGTCCATACTTTTGATCTTTGTGTGATCCGGCCTGGCGGCCTCCTTTTTCGGTAATGACGTGTGATGGTGTGAGTCGGTGGTGCGTATGCACAAGGGAGATAGCGAGTCACTCGGCAGGACCAGTGGCGGAGCCAGAAAAACGGGTCAGGGGGTCGAAAATCAACTATGTACAAAATGAAAATGGTACATCGTTTTTAGACAATGTTCGAATTGAATGTTTCATTTGTAGTTTAGATAAATAAGCATTCGTAAGCAATAAGATATACTGTCTTTGCTCTGTTTCTGAATCATGTTACGTAACTAATGAATTAATTATACGTTATTCATAAAATTTGGGAAAATAATCAATATTATGCATCAAATTTTGCTGATTTTACGTTTAGATAGTGCTGATTTTCCAGAAGTCATAACTTTTTACTCGTAATGAATTACGGGGGCCATAATATATCAAATCGAAGGTATTTCAGAGCTCTATACTCTCAAACTTTCAGCGGGGTCAGCTGACCCCCTTGACCCCCCCTTGGCTCCGCCCCTGGGCAGGACGATGTCATATACTACATATTTTTTAAAATTAATACTCTCTTCATTTCGTAAAACTTTGCAATTTTTCTTATTTTGTTGTACCACTAATTTTTGCCATTTTTTCTTTTTAAAAAAAGAATTTGTGATTTCAGTTAATTCTCTCTTCACTACAAAAACATTAATCACACATCTTTCGATAATTGACCAAATGAAAGTTGTTCGAACATTAAATACTCCATAAAATTTGCTAATGAAAAAATGATACTCTCTTCGTCCCTGAATTACCTTCCAACTTTTCTTTTTCGTATTTCCCAAAATAATCTTCTTTTTCTAATTCTAGTAAAATTTTATGATCTGCAACATTTGTCACATGTATCTATCTTCTAATGACAACTATCGACCATACAATTTTTTATTTTCTTAAAACTCCATTTGAAGGAGATTGAGTATAACTTTTAAATAGTACCTTTTATCTATCGATTTGTAAAAACAATGACATTTATACTCACTCTTATATCAACTTTTATATCTAACATGTATGTGAAATGATTTTTTCTGTGAATCTCGTTCACAGACAAAAACAAAAACATGTTTTATTTTGTCTGTGCAAATTTGTATACACAAATAAAGCCTTCACTGAATATAAGAATGAGTACAACAATAAAACTTGTAAAAAATCTCTTAAGTGGACAGCGAGATACTCGTACTAAACAATTCATCGTTGGTGTAAACAATTATGGGTACATACATTATTTTATAATATACGGAGTATAACATAAAAATATAGGAAATGCGGATTTAGTGTCCCATAAATACTTAAATTACAGGATGTACCGAGGTGGTAGCCTACAATCTTAAATTAAATCACATGGATATTTATTGATTCATAATATTTTGGGTAAACAAGTATCATGTGATAAATCACGAAAATTGTTATGATTACGAAATATCAACCACGAGGACTGAGTCGAAATGTCGATTCATCTCAGACTTTAAAAGCCAGGACACTGCTCATGGGAATACGGTCCAGCTAAATAAGATTACGATGCCCCAAATCCATTTTAACCCCATTGACTTATTACCATAGATTAAATCACAAGGTCAAGTTGGCATTCATTGAAAGCGAAGTTACAGTCTCTTTGGAATTGGGATATGATGGAATTCAATTCCCGGTTTAATACGTGTTGGCAGTGTAATTAAGGACACCGCAGTCCTTCACTCAATCACAATATGCGGTGATGTGATGTATGTTATTCCTGACTAAAATAAAATTATGAACATATGTGATTAAATTATGAACATATTTTAAGGTAGTTTGAATTTAAGAGAGAAAATTATTTTTCTCTCTAGCGGTCATCTCCCTACGAGTTCGAGTTTCGTTCTTCTGTCTTCATTATTCACGAAGATCGGCCGTTGGTCGATTTCGATCGTGCAAGCAGGCGTGGGACCAGGGATGCAGCGCTCTGGCAATCAGGGCTTGACTTCTGTTGTTATTTCTGTTCGAAGGTCGAGTGTTGACAAAGAAAAAGTGGATAAGTTGTGTCGGAGCTTGTGTTAGATTCAACAGTAAGGAATATCAATGGAGGATATCGTCAATCAATACAAAAGCATGGCTATTGAGGCGGATGAGCGGCGGGCACGTCCCCCTCCCGAGCCGCCGCCATGGAGTGCGAGCGAGTCTAGGGTTTGGAAGAAGATGAAGAACTATGTTTTAATTCTGTTTTATTCTGTTTGTGTTTTTCATTTGAATTGCATGTTGTTTTGGACATGTTCTTATTTCCTAGCAGAGATTCTAGAATTTAAGTCAAGTGATGATAAGTCCGGTTTGCCTGTCGTTGGCTCAGTTAAGCCCATTACAGGATTAGCGAATATTATTGCTTCTACAAAGGTGATAGACAATAGGCTTTTTATCATTTTGTTTCCTGCTTTTTCTTTGATTATATTATCAGTCATGTTACGAACGTTTTGTTGATTTAATATATTTGTTAATTGGTTTGACGACGAAAAAAATTATATTGTATGAAGTTAGTGTAGAGGATCTTTTTAAATATTTTTCATTAACTAAAATCATTTTAAATTCGCAAAATCAGCCAATACAGCCAATTTACCCAGAACTTCATAAATTTCAGCGGAATCGGCCAATTCAGCCCATTTTTGTGTTACCGAACGGGTTCTATATTTTTCGGCTTATAAATCAACTTTTTCTCAAACACGTAACTATTACGGAGTAATTTGGTGCGTTGATATGTGTTATAATAAGAAAAAATAAGACTGGAGTTACTTTTTTGACTGTATGGACTGAAGTTACTGTAGATGATCATTTTAATTATTTTCATGTAATTTTTTCTTTATTTTATTAATAAAAAACATAAAAAACATATATCAACAGAATCAGCTAATCCAGCTACTTCAGCCAAAACCTCATAAATTTTGTAAAAATGAGACGATTCAACCAATTCCAATGTTATCTATTAAGGTGTATAATTTTATAATAATGGAGTATAATACTCGTAATAGTCATCAAATATGATTTTAGGAAATGCGTGAAATGACTACAAATGAATAACTAAAATAAAGAGTTTAGGAAATGCGTCTGTTAAGTGTAGTGATTATAATTTTTTTCAAAATAACCTTAGGGACCCACTTAAGTCCATATCCATACTTAAATTCATTATTGATCATTCTTTGAAGATCATATTTGACTTGTTTTATTTTTATTTACGCTTTTGACATTGAACAGAGCATATAAATCAAGGTGTGTATTTCATATTGATTTAATGATTTGGAAATGAGATGTTTTATTAAAAATTTATAAATAGATCTTTCTATTATCTTTATTTTCTCAATTTGTTGAACTAAAAAAACTCGATCAGATACATAAATTATGTAAATGTATCCACTTACCATTTTTAATATGGCACCAACAAATTTCTAGATTACCTTCCCACCTACCTCTCACACTTTGATCGGTGCTTTGTTACACCCAGGGGCGGAGCCAAGGGGGGGTCAAGGGGGTCAGCCGACCCCGCTGAAAGTTTGAGAGTATAGAGCTCTGAAATACCTTCGATTTGATATATTATGGCCCCCGTAACTCATTACGAGTAAAAAGTTATGACTTCTGGAAAATCAGCACTATGTAAACGTAAAATCAGCAAAATTTGATGCATAATATTGATTATTTTCCCAAATTTTATGAATAACGTATAATTAATTCATTAGTTACGTAACATGATTCAGAAACAGAGCAAAGACAGTATATCTTATTGCTTACGAATGCTTATTTATCTAAACTACAAATGAAACATTCAATTCGAACATTGTCTAAAAACGATGTACCATTTTCATTTTGTACATAGTTGATTTTCGACCCCCCTGACCCGTTTTTCTGGCTCCGCCACTGGTTACACCATTGTCACCTCACCTTCATATCAGTTCACCTAATTATCAAATTATTGTCACTTTACCATTACATTATCTAACTTTTCATACAATATAATGATATATGGTGTGTATAACAATTGTAATCTGAATGATCATATCTCAGTTTAAAAGGTGTGCCAGTAAAAAGAGTCTAGTTTTTTAGTTTTCCATATGATTTTAAATGTATAACAAGAGTTTACCAGTTTTTCTCTCAACCTAAGCTCCAACTAACTCCTTGAGGAACTTTATACACTTGTTAAAGTGAGTATATTTCCATGTGCATCCCTATACATACTATCAATATCTAAATTTTCTTCGGAACAATGCTAATGATGAGGCAAAAGATGGACACGTGCAATGGACTTTGGATGAGGCTAATAAAACAACAAAAATGATGTTTGTACCCATCCTTATACTATACCCACTTTTATATCTACCCATGTTTGTGAATGTTTTTTCATCTGTGAACCGGACTCACAGACAAAAAGAACCTTCACAGAGGTGGGTATAAAGAGGGTATAAGGAGTGAGTACAAGAAGCATTGTTGAATAAAACAAATAAATTGTCTAAATATAACAAAATACATCAAGAAAAGATGCCGATAAACGATAGTGGTCACTATTTCGAATACACAATAAAAAAAGAAAAAGAAATACTTGGAGGCATATACCTCTTTCAAATGGATATCATCTATATATGATTTACTAACTAGTGCCCTTTAGCTCATGAATTGAAGTTCATACTTTAATACTAAAGATTAATTTAAATGGATTAATAGTACTACTCATACCAACATGGGTGCATCTCTTTTTAAGGGAGCTCATCACCCAAAAACTCCAAAGTTAAGCGTGCTTGCACAGGAGCACTCTTGGGATGGGTGACCCTCTGGGAAGTTTCTCAGGACACTCACGAGTGAGCACAAAGTGCGCAGTAAAGGCTTGTGGTGATTTGTGAGTATAGTACTAGAGGTCCCAAGTAACTATCTCGGGTCCTGCGGGGATATATGGGGTGTTGCACATACTCCCAATGATAACAATTAAAACCCATTGATACTAGCTCATTGACCCCACACAGAAAAGCTATAAACATACTATCCATGATTTTGACTAATTTTCAGCAATGGTACTGTAGCTACACAATTGAGACTTCGGTCCCCCATGGATCATATATTTCAATAATCTCGTGGAACTGTTTGATCGATAAGGTGTCATTTTGTGTTATTGAATATTCACGAGACTTCTAGTAAAAAGGAGCATTTTTTTTTTGTATTTCAGTATGTTTAATTTCAAGCCTACATTCCTCCTAGTGTCTACATGTAGCATAATATCACATTATATCATTCAACCTTATCTTTCTAATTGCCACCCAAAAAACACATCTTCCAAATTCACGCAGTCTAACATAGTCTTAGTTTTTCATTCACCAACACAAATTTCAATCTTTTCAATCATTGGAGAAAATTGGATAAAAGGAGTAAGATATCGGTTGAATCCCCAAACATGTTATTGGAAAGTACCTTTAGGGGAAGCCAAATAAATTGAATATATATCATCCTTCTATTGCTCAGAAACTCCAATCAAGAACGCTTTTGACTTCTCAGTATTCGATGTATCCCTGTAAGTGCATGAAGTTCCTAAAAGACAAATAATCTTCTTTAGCATATAGCATAAGATCATCAACAAAGATTAAATGAGATAACCTCAGTTTTGCCACAATTGTGGTGGTGTTTTAACCTATCTAGAATTTGCAGCTCTTATTAGGTCATGAGTTTAGGAAAGTATGCAATGCCGAATGAGGATGGTGAAAAAGAAAAAAAATTGGAACCACACATAACGATGCTTAATCCATCAAACTCATACATCATGAATAAAGAATGAATTAGGAGCACATGAATGTCCTCGTTATATGTACCATGGACCAAAAATTACATAAAGAAACTAAGTATTTGATAGCAAATATAACTTCACTAACACACACAATTGTATTCTCACCATCACATAGATATTGTTAGTTGCTTCTACTTGTGTTATTTGTGTGGCTTATTAACATCCACACATTAGAATAAATTCATTGAACACGTCTTGAGCAATTTTATTGGGCTAGTTTTTCTTCTTTCAATTAAGATCGGGATTTTTTGCTTAGCCTTATGCTTGTGGCTTCAAAGGGGTATTCACGTTTGACACATGCCTTTTCCAACCAAGATATTTGGGGATGGTTTCATACTACGGTTTGCGGGAGGAACTTATGGGATAATATGTTTGGTACCATTACTCATTGAATTGCTCTAGAAACATGAGTAAAAGTTTGCGATGATGGGTGTCATCATGCTCGATCATGAATGCAATTCAATTCTGCAACTACCTAGTAAATGGATCTCTAACCTAGATGCTTCTTTTGAGGTATGGAAATAGATTCATTTTGTCGTTAATGTAACACTGTCCCCAAGTATATTTACTTTTGTGTAAATTATGTATTGAACCTTGAGAAATGGTTAATGAATTTACGAGGCCGTAAATTTTTATTGTTTATTTTGCGTGAATAGTAAATTTCACGTGGACCCACACCGGGGCAGGGGCCACCCGATATTCCGGGACAACATATTATATTCATCTTGGTCTAAATAATATTTATATAGTGGTGGATATCCTAGTTAGGCCATACAAAGGCACAAAGTTGACCAGCCCATCTAACAAGACCCAATTACCGGCATTGGCAATTTATCTGATTACAGCCCGTAATGGATTCCGGGGACTTTTTCCATGGTAATGATTCCATGGTAACTTCTTCTTCTCTCATTGAACTTCATATGACATAATGAACTTCATATGACCTTTATGTCATATGAAGTGCCCCTAGAATTGCTCTAAATGTTTAGAAGTGTAGAATGAGGGGTTGGAAGGTAGTTCTAAGTCTAAGAACAGACTTAGAAGGCAAAGTGACCGGTTTGCTTAAAAACCTTTTAGAGGTTATTTGTATTGATATGGGTTATGTGATGATGAAACCTTGATAGGAACTTGTCTAAGGTCTTCATAGGCTTGTACGGAGTTGAAAGAGTCAACGGGGTAATCTCCAAAGTTCAACAAAGTTCGCCGGAGTTTCACCGGAGATCAACCGAAAATGGTAGAACGTTTTAAAGCTCATTCAAGGTGAGTGGACGGATTAATGTATTGTAACTCTTGGGTTAAGTATGAGATTACCTAAGTAAATGTTATATGTATTCATAATTATGTTTAAAAGAGTTTAAGCATGTGTTTAGCCAAGATGATTAAGCTTATATGAAATGAACCACAAAGATATGCATGAAAATGATTAGAAAATGTTATAAAAACATATGTGATGTTTTGAATGGCCAAAAAGAAAAATATTGATTTCTTAAGACTTAATACATGTTGTGATTAAGTTTCGGATCAATCAGAGTCGGTTCGGGCGATCAACGGGCCGTTAACCGTGAAGAAGGCGGAGAACCAGCGCCGATTATGGCTTGAACCAGCGCCGGTCTGAGTTTGACATTTG